ATCTCACTTTTTTTTAAAACTAAGAAAGAGCACAATTAAGCTGGGTGTGGTGGCACATGCCTATAATCCAGCACTGGAGAGGCTGAGACAGGAGGATCAGCCTGAAATACACAGCAAAAAACTGTATAAAAAAAAAGTACAATTAAAACACAGAATGCATATTTCTTTTATATTGCAAGTATGCTTTCAAAGAATAAAAGCCCAAAAGACACCCTAAAGACTAACATTAGTATCTTCATTGAAGAGGTGAGCATCTTTCAAAAGAAATAAGCATGTTTGAAAGATAAGAGTCTTTAAGCTTAAACTATTAAATAAGTATTCCATGAGGGAAAGTGGCATGTTACTGGGAAAAAAGACTTTAATATTATAAAAACTGTATCTTTAAAAATACCTCATATATATTGTTAAAAGTTTGAGGAAGTCCTATAATAAAGAAATGTTTTGTTTTTCTTTCTTTCAATGTGGAACTTTACTTGATATTTATTAACAGCTTGCAGAATGGCAGAAAGTGCTCCAGAGAACACAGTTTGCAAAATCATACATTAGATAGCTCGGAAAAACTCATCAAGGTTCTTTGTCAGAATGCCGGGCACCATAAGGAATGATAAAGCCATTACCGGAGATAGTTTTTATTATAAGTACTATGGAACAGTTGGCAGGCAGGTTGCCTTAATGAAATTGAGTACTTTCTCTTCAGGAGATTTCCAGGGTTCAAAGCCACTATTTGTGCTTTCCTGAGCATAACACTATAGAGTCCCTTCTTTTCTTAAAAGCCCATATATACAAATGATTTTCACCACAATCTGTGTCTCTGGTGGTTGCAAAATCCTGACTTCAAATCACCAGATTCAGAATCAACTGCCTGAAGGACACCCTTGACTTGTTGACCTACATGAACTTAATTCAACATGTCCAAGATTGAGTTCATTAGTATCCATTCAAATATCTGTTCAAATTCTAACTTTCTACAGTTCGGCAATGTTACTCCATTTACTCATGGACTCAAACCCAAAATTATAGTAAATGTTAGAGTTCTTAACACCCTTTAAATTCATCAGTTTCTTTCCATCCTGATTTTCAATGTTGACATTGAATTTGTTATTGTTTTTACCCTGGATCAATGGAAAAATCTTTGGCAGGCATTCCGTTTCTCATCTCCCTCTCTAACCCTTTATAGGTGGTGACTTTTTGTTGTTTTTAATATACATTACTCAGGGCTTACTCTTTATCTCTGTAATTTCATAATGTCTTACTATTTTTCTATCATACTCATGATACCTCATGCTGTAACCTACTTATATCTCTAACACTCTTATATCTCCACACTTAAGTTCCAGATATACATCCAACTTCTTGTACTTCTAGATCTATCTTTACCTGTGTGGTTTAGGCTGTTTGGGTCACTCTTATTTTCTTCTTCTACAAGAAAAAGAAAAATAAACTCTCCTAACATTTCGCCTCTGATCTGGCGAAACTTTCATGCTCTTTGCATACTTTCCTTCTTTCTATATCAACTCACTGTACTTTATTCATAAACGCAAAAAGCACTCACTGAAAATTACTGCACTAATTTGCTTCATAACTGTTTTGTTCACCAAGACTTGGATGGATTATTTTCCACATATGAAGCAAATCAAATGTTTAGCACAGTACCTAAATGAAGTCAATACTTCCCCAAAGTAATGTTTTAAAATTTAAGTTTACAATCATTTCCTTCCTTGTCCTATTCTCTCTTACAGACTTCAGCAGAAATGTCAATCAGACATCTATTTCAAATGGTTTTTAATTTTCTGTTTTTTGTAAAAATTTGTCCAAGAGTAAAAGATAAATGTTGCCTTTCATCATTTTCCTACTCTCATCTAAAACTACAGCACAAAATGTAGTTTCAAATAACTTAATTTTAGTATGTCTCTTCCCTCTCTATCACAAATCCATATGCATGAAGGGCATGAGTAAAAAGCTTAGGCTGATTTTCCTGACAGTGTCAGAGACCTTATTCTTTCTTCCCCTGTGAAAAAAATTGGTTCAATTCAACAAATATTTATCAAGAAGCCACCAAGTACAAGTCTGCCTCATCTAAGAAGATACCAGTTTTGCCTACCTGGCAAAAAATACTCGTGTCAGCAAGCTTTCCATTCTTTTGGAGTCTCAATACCCTCAGAGTACAATTCACAATCTATAAAAAAACTTTCCAAACAATCTCTGCTCCTTATTACCCATGTGCGTGTGTGTGTTTGTGTGTGTGTGTGTGTGTGTGTGTGTGTTTAAAAATCTCAGGTACTCAGTCAGGGTCACAGTACCTATGATACTGTTCATCAATATATTTCATCTATTTGTCTCTCAATTTTTCTGTCTTTTAAGTTTTTCTTGCCTTATGGGTAGAACCATTAGTTCATGTTTTATTTCTGTGTCATGTATGTGCTCTGCACACAATTTGAATTAAAAATGTACACATTCTAAAAGGAAATAGTTTAAGATATGACTTTCCTGAGTCATACATTAATATCTACCATGTAACAAAAGTTAGCTGGCTTTTGCAATCAAGTCTCTAGAAAGTTAAGCTAAGATAAAAGCAAAAGAGGATGCAAATATAAATAAATTCAAAGAATATGACATTCTAATAGCCTCTTATCAGTCAAGTGCCCAGGGCGAAGACTGCGCAGGGTCAGATGGGAAGCTCTCGCCTGGCCCTGGTGTGGATAATCACATCCTGAGGTTGTGCAAGGGGAATGCCACCAGTCCCAAATCAACAAACTCATTCTATTCATAACCTGGAATAAATTAGGCATCTCAGGAATGGAAACTGCTATTCTCCCCAGGAGGAACTAGAGCTATATAGGCAGGTCAGAGTACCTGCCTTAGGCATGTCAGGTGCCCAGCCAGCTGTGAAGTTCTTCCTAGCCATGCTCAGTTGGAAGCAGCGTAATAGGGACCATTGTTAACACTGAGAAAATGAGGACCTCAACTTTGGAAAGAATGTATTTCCCTTTTTCCAAAGATCAAATGAAGAAAATTCTGGAATAAACATTGTAAGGATCATTGAAATTTCAGCATTCATATTTTTGTCAGAAGATTAAATAAGAACATCGTATACTCTAATGAGTAGGCAATAGACCAAACTGTTATTTTAATTAGACATTTTCTAGAAAGCTTAATGTAATGAGAACTGAAACCAGTATAGTTTACTCATTTTGTGATAAATTTAATTCAGTAATGCTAACAATTTATAATCACTTCATTATGTTTACAAATATATTCAGAGAAAAAAATTAATAAAAATCAACATCTGGCTCAATTTCATAGTATTAAAATTCAGGAACTAAAGAAAGTGGCCCACAATGGTGACCCACCCATTGGCTCCAGAGCACTGCTTATCAAGTCTAGGCATTAGCCCTGCTTTTGGTGCACTCATTAAACCTCAGTACTGTTAACACATGCTACTGCACTGTGTTACAAGAATTGGCTATATAGTTAATATTCACCAATCCAACCCTTCGTCCCATTCTAAAAAGTATGTGCTAGAAAGAGAAGAGAAACTCACTTGAGAGTAGCACTTTGATGTTATCAACTTCCCAAAGTATGGGGAAGGGCAGAAAACACTCTTATTTCAGGTCTTTATTCATTTGGAACAAAAAGGATGCATTGCCTAAATAAAACTAGTATCAACTGGGTACAAACCACTACTTATGATCTAAGTAGCACTTATGATCTAAATTCATTGAGAAAGTGGCTTACTCAAAGGCAAAAGTTATTTACATAACTACACAGTATTTATCCTCCTTTGTGAAGAGATGATATTTTAGGTTTGGCCCCAGCATTTAATAGCTAAGATATTTTATAGAAGAGAATAAAAATATTTTAACTCCAAACACAGATAACAGCTCTGTGTACTGAAAGTATACTTGATCTTACTAATAAGACCATGAAATTCCTATATTATGAGGGACAAAAGTACTTCTAATTTTAATTTCTGATCTGAAAGTTTCACCAGTGTATCCTTGGCACCCAAAACATTTTCTGGCAACATAATGGACACTCAAATATTGAACAAATAAATCACTCTGTACTTTTCACTATATAGGAATAAATATAAAAGTTCAAAAAAATAAAAGACTTTCAGATTTAGTTCCTCACTTCTAATTTTTAAACAAACAGGCTATATTACACATTTCATAATTTTGACAATGAAATATGTAAGTAAAATGATGACAGACATAAACATGGACAGACCATCAAACCATGCACACACAAAAGCTTGACAAAAACCAAAAGAAAGGAGCTCTAATTCATATTAAATGAACTTACACATATTTTAATATAACCGTTATATGAAATGAAAATGCTACACAAATCTTATAAAAAATGTATTTACAATTTATATGTTATCCTTATTTTAAAGATGTCAAAAAGTGACACTATTTTTATATGTATAAAGATTTCATATTTATGAAAAGGATTTTATGACTAAGACTAATTTTATGCACAGGAGAGAAGAATGAAATTAACTTAATAAGTACTAAAACATCTCGGACAACAATGAAATATAATTCTCTAAATTATAAAATTGCCTATTGATAGTATATTTGTCCTTTATAATACAAATATGAACAAAAGCAAACTCTTAAAAGAGGATATATACCAAGTATTACAGTAAATACTACATAGTGTAGTTTTAAACAATTTATGAAATTTTATATATATATACATATATATATGTATATATATATATGTATATGTATATAGCCTATCTTGCTAAAACTTCTGTGAAGTAGATACTATCATTTCCCCCATTTTTAATAAGGGACAAAGGCACATAAAGGTTAAACAACTTGCTAATAGGTCACAAAATTAATTTGTAACAGAGTCAGGATTCATATTCAGACAGTCTGGCTCCTGAGTTCATGATCTTTAAAAGGCTATACGCATAGAGAAACATATTTTAATTTTTTGTGGAAATATCATAAATTAGGGATATTGTTAGAAAATGCAAAAATAAATACCTGAAACATCGAGAACATGGCGGACAGATAGCAGCAGCTACGAGGCTCTCTCTGAGACCCAGCTTAGAATCCAGGAATGGTGCGGAGGCAGGAATCCTAACCAAGAGGAGATATACCCTGCTGACCCAAGAACAAACTGGGCTGAGAGATACCAACTGTTCCGGAATGCAATCCTGGTGCTATAACAGGAACAGATAAAGCCTGAGTGTGGAAGCTGGAGCCCGTGCCATTGAAAGTCGTGATTTGGGTTTGCTGCCACCGCAGCTGCATCTGAATCAGCTCGGCAGGGAGAGAGACTCGCAAAAGCGCTGAGAACAGGAATTGCTGAACAGAGTTAAGAGCTGGGCGGGTGGGGAGCCATGCATCTACCTCCGGTGAGTGAGGGAAACTGGGACTCTCCCAAGGTCTAGGAGGTGCCAACAGAGGACATTCTGGGACCGGGCAGACTTGCTGGAACAGGGAGCTGTAGTGACTTCAGTCACATACCCCCTCTCAAGCAGGATTGGTGAGCAGTGCCTAGCCTACGTGAAGCTGCCGTCTGAGACCCAGTAGGCTAGCACAACCCAGATCCCAGCACCTGAAGATGCTCCCTAGCGGTGAGGCCTTTCGGTAGGTTGACCTGGAGGGGCGGCCCCGCATAGACTGCCTGGTCCGTATCTCCCTGGTGTTGCGGTGGGTGGGAACACCTAGCCGGCGCAATTCAGTCAGACTGTGGCCGATAGGGAAGGAAGCTGGGCCTCCTATATACGCTTGCATATATAAGGAACAAAGAATATGGGAGGAGGGAGCAACAAGAAAGGCTCCTAGGCCCCCAATCCTGAGAAACAGGCAATAGCAGACACGCCACCAGCAGACATAAAAGGCTACCTCCAGAGCCTCATAGACGAGTTCAGGAATGAAGTTATTAATGACCTGAAGCAAGACATAAGCAGAATAGTCAGAGAAATGCTAAGCACCACCCAAGAAAAAGCAGATGGTGGAATGGAAGAACAGAAAAAGAGGGGAGAATTATTTGATGGAGAAAATAGAGAACACGTGTAATACGTGAAGCAGGTTCAAAGAGATTACCAGGAAACTAAAAACTCTATTGAAAACTGGCGTAACAGCTTGAAAGAAACTAAGGACAGATTATCTGAACTGGAGGGCAGATTTGTAATATGGGAGCATGAAATGAAAAACTTCTTAAAAATAACAAAAAACCAAATAGCAACAATACAAAAACTAGAAGATGATAAGAGGATCTATAACTTAAGAACATAAGAGAAGAAATGGGGACATAAACAAATGGACTACAAAAGATATTCACAGAAATAATCCAAGAGAATTTCCCTAATTTAGCAAACGGTAAAGATACTCAGATATATGAGGCATACAGGACTCCAGCTACCTACAACCCAAATAGAGCTACTCCCAGGCATATAATAATAAAAATTCCAGAAATCCAATATAAGAACAGAATATTAAAAGCTGTCAGAGACAAGAAACAGACTACTTACAAGGGAACACCCATCAGAATTACAGCAGACTTCTCGGCACAAACCATCAAATCACGAAGAGCATGGGGGGAAATAATTCAAGCTTTGAAAGATAATAACCTCCAGCCAAGATTGAGATATCCTATACAACTATCCCTGGAAATTGATGGAAAAACAAGGTGCTTTCAGGATAAAAAGGAACTAGGAGAATATGCAACCACCAATTCAATTCTACAGAGAATACTGCAGGATATTCTAAAAAAAGAAAAATATGAAGAATCTAGAAATAGTGGCAGAGAGGCCACAATGAATGGAGCAGAAAACAAAGTGAAGAAGACAAACTGTCAACTAATGACAGAAAAAGAGCTCAAGAGAAATGAGGCAGAGAAGATTGGATGATAGGAACAGCTATCTTGGAGAAAACGATGTCATAATGGATAGTGCTGATTTGGTATCATCTTGTTTTGAAGTCCCATCAAGCTTTTGTTCTTCTGTCTCTATAGGTCTTAACATGTTATATCTTATTGGATTTTATATGTGATAGCACAAACAAAAACTTTTATAGACAAGGAGATTATACAGAAACCATAGTTCATTATCTGTTAGCTGATTCGAAATACCCTGTAATACTGTCATTCTCTTGAATGGTTATAAATTGTGTTGATATATTTGATGCTACAGTATACGAAGTTATACTCAAAGATCTCAAGGGTAGAGACAATATGGTAACTACTTTTATGTCAGGATTATCTTGTGGTTAAACACTAATTTGCTTAAATGGTTATGTATTGATCTGCACTGTTTAGTTGTTATGCCCTCTTTTATCTCAATCTCCAGTTTATTATTTACTTTTTTATTTTTATCCTTTTAATTAAAGGAAAAATAAATTTAAAAAAGCAGGATGTATTATAGTAACCCACTTTGATATTCTATTAACTTGATTTGAAGCCCTGTATTGCTCTCACTATCTTGTTTTGACTGATGTTCCTCTATTCTGCTTTGCTTGATAGTATCAGGTTCGAAAGTTTAGGCAACAGCTGTGAAGATAGTGGGATTCATTTTGACGTCCATACTGGTTAACTATTATCTATTTTTGAAGACCTGTAATGTCTCCAATGTTTTGGTTTTGCTGGTTTCGTTCTTTACTGTTTTGTTCAATTTTATTATAACTGATGATATAGGCAATTTTATTTGAGATAGTGGGAGGCATTATGTTGATCACCTTTTATTATGTTTTTAAATTATCTATTATGTCCACCCTTTTGATTTAACCGATTCTGTTCTGTTAAGTCACATCTGGTTTTACTCTCTTCCAAAAAAAGCAATAAGAACTGTGGGAGCAATAAAACCCAAAATGTGTAATAGTCATTGTACAAAAGGGAGGAAAAGAAAGTGCTCTAGTGGTATAACTGCATGTAAATTTAAGTGTATAAGATAAACAATAATATTACTGAGTTTTGTTGGATCATTGAACAGAACTGTTTGCAGTCTCGCTGTTTGAATGTCCACTTTATATGCTTTAATCTTGTAACTTGAACAAATATTTCTAAGATGACAATATGTAATCCATTAATTAGTGATTTCTTACTGTTTTTTTCTGAAATTCTGTATAACTTGTACCATTTTTCTGCTTTTTTTTTCTCTTTCTCCTTAAAAAAAAAAAAAAAGAATTAAAAACATCACACCCCAATGGAGAAAAAAATACTTTCCGTGTCTTTAATGAAGATTTTCAAACTCCCCTTAAAATATAGACCTAACATTACCAAGAATGTGAGATACATGGATATAGTAGGAAAGAAACAAAAATAACCTCTATATAGAAATGCCTAACAGTAGAAAAGAAGATTTCAAACTAATGCCAACTGTGTATTTACACAAAAATAAGACCTCAGAGCAACATAAGCAAAGACAGTGAGGCACATCCAATGACTCCTAATGTCTACTGCATTATTTATCTGCAAGTAGCTTTAAAGAAAATGCCCATAAAATGTTCCCCAGAAAAAGCTGTTTCCATTTCTTATTGCATGCTCTCACTCCTAGAGCAATGTCGAAAGCATGTGTGAGAAAACATGTTCCTCACAGTCCTTTCTAACTATCAGTATGTCTACCACATTCATTAGACTATAATTTAGTTCATTAAACTCTTCTTTTGATACTGCCAATACATGACCTTACTCTTGGCCAAAAGCTGGGGCTGATGAATACAAGTATTATGGTTTGTCATCTTCTGGTTTGATCATTTTTATTCTCTAATTGCATATAAAATTTCCTACTTCACTGTACAGGGACTTACATGAAAAGGCTTTTTGTGGTGGTGATGGTAGTGTGGTACTGGTTATTGCATGTGCTTTAAGTTTTTTGCCTTTTTTATTCTTTATTTATTGACTTCTTTTTTTCAGTCTGGGCAAAACCTTTTGTAGGAAAAGTCAAGATTGTCTAAAATTGTTCAAATATCTCTATGTTTAAATAGCTCTCTCCTAGGAAAGGTTCATTAGCCTGATAATTTCTCTCTCTCCACTGTTTTTCTTTTCTTTCTTTGGAAAGCTTCAAAAAGTAGCACCACACAAATTTTAAAATAATTGAGAAGACTGCCTATAGATGAGCAATTATAGTATACTATGTGTAAAACTATCCAAAGAACAAATCTCAAAATAAACATCACTGTGGACACTGAAACCTATTCAGCTTCTATATTCATGTTTCTACTGGACAACTGATATAAACAAATTACTTATTAGTATCTTCATATTATTAAATTTTTACTAAAAATATAAAAATTTTTCCTTAGAGCTTATGTTCACAGATGAAAACAAAAATAAAAATAGTCTCAGTGAAAGCAAACCTCAGTTTCTTCCTATTCCAGTGTACTAAAACTATGTCGCTGTCACTTTTCATTAGCTGATGCTTCCTACTACTGCTGATCCTCTGTATAACAAGCAGAAAGAAAAAAAATATCATTGCAAAAATACGAAATCTCTTTCATTCTGCTATGGGTAGGGGAGTTGGTCATAACCAGTGTTTGTGACACATATCATATGAATTATCAGAAGCCACTCACAAAATGAAGGATAGAAATGTCTGCATAACCTCAGGCTGTGAGTTCTTCTTCTAGGTCCCAACTACAGAGTATCTATTCACAAGCATTCCTTTTGAACTATATTGAATAATTCAGTAAATCAATGATTGTCAATTTATTTGAGTAAAGAATCACTTTTCACTCCTAATGCTGAGATTACTAAAATGTCTTTTAAAAGTGAGAAAACACTATTATACTTGCTTTCATTTTTGTTTTTAAAGATTGGCCTTTGTTTACTGATATTTATTTACTTATTTAATTTTTATCAAAAACAGGGCCTACAAATTCACCTGTAAATTTTAAGTCATCTGGGTTTAAATATAAAAAGATACTTACATTTCTGAAATGAATGAACATAAAGTGCAACAGTTTCGTAAGATGTGAAATATGTCAGAAAAGAACCAAAGGAGCAGAAAAACTTAATTCTATTTCATTTATACAAATTTCTAAGTCTCTGATCTTGG